ACCGTGCTCCGTAATAGCTTCACCTGGGAATATCTGTCCAAACAAGCTGTGCTCTAACCCCTTCCAGCGCCTGGAGTTTCCACGAAGCTTGCAATGAGGAAAGGAATCGGCTGGGGGAGTCTGCGGCCGGTGCCGTACATGAGCAATGCCTGGTAGTTAAGCACAGGAGTCACCCTGCTTCGCTGTTCAAGAACAAGGGCTTATTTAAAAAGAAGAAGGAAAAAAAAAGAAAAAAATCCACAAACCAACCCTGTTTTTGTGCTGTTCAGCCCGAGTTGAAGTTTTATTAAAGATTTCCATTCGGCAGAACCATCTAATAAATCTTACTGGTTAGCAGTCAGAGAAGGAGGAAGAAAATGCTTTTCTGGTGTCTGCTGGGAATCGCTGGTACTAAATTAGCTGCTCTGGAATTATTGCTGGCACCATCACGCTGCCGCTGTGTTGCCCCGTGGAGGCTCTCTGTAGCTCACGCCTGTTTGCATGCCGCCTGCATCCTAAGCAAGCAGAATATGGAATTTTTAATCATGCACAGAAACGCATTCAGTATTCTTTTTGCTCGTGGAAAAATAAACCCTTGAAGGGCATTGCGGGAAGGGAGAGCGCCCGCCTGCAAAGGGAGGACTCTGCGGCGCTGGGGGGGAGGGATGTCTTTCCAGGTCTTGCTGGAGGGAGGTGTCGGGCAGAGCAAGGCGTGATCATCCCGGCTCTTCATCGCTGTCGGCTGCCACCTCCGCCTCAAGAGCCCGCAAACGAACAGGGGCTGCCGAACCGAGATGGGGTCCGCATGGCAAACGGGACACGCTTGTCTGATCTTTGGGAAATCTCAAATATTTCCCTCACCCTCACGCATCGTGTGGAAGATGTTCAAGACCTGCATGTGAACTCTCAGTGAATTTTAAAACGCTTCAGGCCTATTACAGCTCTTCGCCCATTCGGCACCATCCCTCAAAGGGTTAATTCTAGGTCAACACAAATTTCTTATTGACTTCCATCAGGCCGGGCTTAATCTGAAAATGATGCTCAATTTGCTCGTCTGTTGATTGTGAGCTGGAGACCTGAAGCATTTATTTTTCATTAAAAGTAATTTCACTTGATATTAAAACCATTTGAATGGACCTTTAGTTTTTCACACGGGGGAAACGTCACACACATTTCTTTTCCCCGTGCTCGAAGCCATGATGCTCCCTAGTCACTAACACGTAGAAACAGTGCAGATAAAAATAAATGTGATGCAGTCAAGATTTTTCCCAGCAAATTCGGTATCGAGCGATTCCTGGTGAGAGGAGATCAATAGCATGCAGTTAATTTTTAAGTTGTTTATGTTGCTGCTTTTAAACCATGTTCTTTGTGATCCATGCTAATGAGTGGAATGAGAAATTTATAGATTCATAGGCTAAGGTCAGAAGGGATCTCTGTGCTTAGTTAATCTGGGCTTGTGTTATACGCAGGCCATGGACTTTTCCCCAGGCAGCATCTCTCTTGGAAACGTACCTAATGCTTTAAAAACACCGAGCGTTGGTGAGTTTGCCCCCTCCCTGGCTGGTTCTCTGTTTAATTACCCTTGCTGTTGGGAAAGTGCCTCACTTCAAGGCTGAGATGTGTAACTTGACTTTCTAGGCTGAGATGTGTGACTTGACTTTCTAGCCCTCGTAACCTGCTACGCCTTTGTCTGAGAGACTGAAAGCTTTTCCACTTGCTCCCAGTGATCGAGTCACCTCTCAGCCTTTCTTTGATAAACTCCTTAAATTCCACATCATCAAAGATTTGGTTTGCAACCCAGGGTCATTTTTGCAGCTTTCTTTTGAACTTCTGCTATTTCCACATGTTGATGCGTGGCCCCAAGACCCACGTTCATCTTGCCAACACCATATGCAACAGCACTCTCTCTTCCCAGCTTCAACTTGTTTTTATTTTGGTGTTAGGGCTCGTATTATATACCCAACGTTGCATCGACCTTTTATCCACCACATTGCGATGAGAGCTGACGTTGCGTAGCTCTGAGCGGCCCCTTTATGTCCTGCTCCGAGTGCCTGACTTTCTAAGGGGAGCAGGGCTGCTATGATTGTGCTTCCTCCACGTATTACTGTGCATTTAAAATTCTGCTGCTAGCTTGAGACATGTAGATAACCGGTTAAAATAACTCCTCTTTAGCCACCAAGTGTTATGCCACCTGCAGCCTTTACCAGGGGAGATTTTCTATTACCTGGATTGTTGGTAGATATATTAAATAGCATTGAATAAGAATCAATGCTTGCTACTGGTGGCCTTGCTCAGTGATACCTTCTCATTAACAACTACATTTTGAAATCTGTCAGTGAAGCAGATTTAATCTCTCTAATGTGTGCCTTGGTAATTCCATATAATACCAGCCAAATACCTTGGAGAAATCGCAGTATATTACAGCATCACAGTTGTCTTTAGCAGCCAGGTGTGTTTTATTACAAACTATTACAAAAAGAACCCAATTCCCCCCCAAAAAAGGAAAAGACAACAGGCTGGTTTAACAAGACCCTTTTTCCAGGAAAGCACATTAATTGCCGTTTATTATATTATTAGCATCTATTTATTTGTTAATGAAATCCCCAATTAACCACTCTGGTATTTTGCAGAGGACCAACATCAGGCTAAGTGGTCTCACTTTGCAAAATTAATTGCGTTTGCAAAATTAATTGCTGCACTAAAATTCTCCCTTTCACTTTTCAAAATACGGAAACACTTTGGCAGTGCCCTGATCCATCCTGAACTGTAAGAGTTACTTTTTAGTGTAACCAACATTAGTGGTTCAGTCAGCTTCTCAGCGAAGCCTGTAAAGATGCTTGCATCTGAGACAGTTGGGTTGCCTGATTTGAGAACATAATTTCTGACCTTCTTGTTCACATCTTTCCTTGCTGCCAACAGTGACCGCTTCTGGTCCCCTCGCACCAGAGTATGGAACCAAACCTTCTTGCTCTCTTCCAAGTACAGATGAGAAATATCCATCCGACTGGTCTGTGCTACAGTTTGCTACCTCATCAGCCTCATCAGCAATGGTTTTATAACCGATTAAAACTACAACTTTGATCCCAAAAGGTTTAAAGTGCCTTTCTTTTTCCTCCTATTGGCCCTCTATTTTACCAGTTCCTTTGGCCTCCCATAGCAGCAGCTAGTTTTCAACCTTTACCTTGTATTTATTACTGCTAACCTCCCATTTTCCCTATTTCCATACATACTGATTTATTTCGTTTTTATCATAGCTTTCACATACTCTTTTGGCTGAAATATTTTTCCTTGACCGTTTCCCAGCACACTGAAGAATTTTGGAAATTGTGCCTTTTTTGGCATCCAATTAAGATGTACTGAACTATTCTTTTTTTTTTGTAACTATCCCACTATAAATGTAGGTTTCCAGTCCACTGTTGCTCTAGGCTTTGGGGCAAAAAAAAGTTTGAAGTTACTTTTTACTGATGGGTGTCATATTCTACTTAAGCAAAGCCAGTTTATTAGGGCGCCTAAGCAGCAGCTAATATTTAGGTCACCAGTTTATTGTCCTTGGTCCATCACAAGGTCTCCCAACTGGATCCCCTTCTACAGGGTTGTCCTGGTTTCAGCCAGGATGAAGTTGATATTCTTCACAGAAGCTGGTATGAGGCTGTGTTTTGGATTTGGGATGAGAATAGTGTTGATTGATAACACACTGATGTTTTTAGTTGCTGCTGAGTAGTTGTAGTGCTTACACTCAGCCAAGGACTGTTCAGCTCCCCAGGCTCTGCCAGCGGGGAGGGGCACAGGGAGCTGGGGGGGGGCACGGCCAGGACAGCTGAGCCAGCCTGGCCAAAGGGACATTCCCTTCCAGATAGCGTCATGCCCAGTACGTAAAGCTGGGGGAAGAAGAAGGAAGGGGTGGAGGGACGTTGGGAGTGATGGCGTCTGTCTTCCCAAGTCACCGTTACGCGTGATGCAGCCCTGCTTCCCTGGAGATGGCTGAACCCCTGCCTGCCCGTGGGGAGTGGGGAATGGATTCCTTGTTTTGCTCTGCTTGTGTGCGCGGCTTTTGCTTTACCTGTTAAACTGTCTTTATCTCAAACCATGAGTTTTCTCACTTTTACTCTTCCAATTCTCTCCCCCGTCCCACCATGGGGGAGTGGGTGAGCGGCTGCGTGGGGCTGAGTTGCCGGCTGGGCTTAAACCATGACAAGGGTCAGAACAAAGCATCCCTTCATGTTAGAAACCTTGGGAAGTTTTCGGGTCAGATGCTCAACCAACAGCCCTTGGTTGAAATCACCATGGCTATGCAATTTTTCTTGTAGTGTACTCCAGATACTTAATGAACAGATTTTTGTTATGTTTCACAAAACAGAGATGACCAAAGAGCAGTTCATCCCTCTCTGTGGGAAGATACAGGAATGTATCAAATGTACAAGTCCCTTGCGTTTCATTTTGCTGGTTAGGGCTCTAATCCTGAGCTGTGTAGTAGCCTTTATTTCTGGTTTTCAGGAGAAAAATCTCATTAGCAGCTGCCTGAT